TTCTTAACAAAATATGCGTTTTCTGTAAGCTTCAACTGAATTAAAATGCTGACTCAAAAATTGCATTATAATAATAATGTCCTCGGCTACCAAATAATACCCTTTTTCATATTGATAAAACAAACAAATATATCAGAGAGCTGGGAAACCATTACGTACTCGTATGAATCAATTTGAACGTAAAAAATACCAAACAAGTTTCCATTATGTCGAGGTTGCGAGAAAATATTTTTTTTAGACCACCTTATTGAAAATGCGCCCTTGTTTGCTTAAATTAAAATGCATTAACTTTTGTTTCTTTAACACAAAGTGTTAAATACATATTAATGACTGCTGAATTTCCTTTCGGGTACACGTACGTACGTCGTATGTATTCTTAAACCATGCCGGGTAAGTTTGTTGCGCATAACATTGTCGCTTAAAATAAGTAATACATAAAAATAGATAGCAAAGAGAAATAAATAATTAGAAACTCTTAAAGAAATCAATAAAATAATTATATTTTCATTTTGCCTCCTATAAAATTCGCCGCCTTTATAGGTCTGAAGTTGTTTCTCTGTTTTCTTACGGTATATATTTTAAAATTGTTTTACTGAGAAAGTAAGTCTTTTACTTGAAATAGTACTCAAATCGAACATTTTCATTTTATTTAATTTTTACATTTCTTCTTATATCGAAAGCTGCTCAAATCCGCGCCTAATGGGCACTTTACTAATACTACGTGTACAGTTCCTACATTACCATATAAGAAAAAATTCAAAACTCTTTTTATTTATATAAACATTTAGTTTCCCACAGTGTACGTGACTGACTTTAGCAGTTTTCATTACCATTGCTGGAAATATTGGGTTGCCCAAAAAGTAATTTCGGATTTTTTAAAAGAAAGTAAATGCATTTTTAATAAAACTTAGAATGAACTTTAATCAAATATATAATTGCCATTTTGTTCGATTACGTTTTGCCATCTTCCTGGCAAATTTAGTATTCCACGCTCATAGAACTTCTGGCCTTTATCTGCAAAAAACTGAACCAAGTTCGATTTTATAGCCTCATCATTGCCGAAAGCTTTACCATTTAAGGAGTTCTGCAAAGATCGAAATAAATGGTAGTCTGATGGTGCAAGGTCAGGGCTATATGGTGGATCAAAAGTTCCCAGCCAAGCTCACTCAGTTTTTGGCGAGTGACCAAAGCGTTGTCCTGGTGGAATATGACACCTTTACGATTGACCAATTCTGGTCGCTTCTCCTTGATGGCTGTATTCAATTTGTCCAATTGTTGACAGTAAACAACCAAATTAATCGTTTGGTTCCATGGAAGCAGCTCAAAATATACGACACCCTTCCAATCCCACCAAACAGACAGCATAACCTTCTTTTGGTGGATATCAGCCTTTGAAGTGGTTTGAGCTGGTTCACCATGCTTGGACTATGATCGTTTTCGACTAACGTTGTTGTAAACAATCCATTTTTCGCCTCCAGTTATGATTCGTTTTAAAAACGGATCGAATTCATTGCGTTTAAGGTGCATATCACAAGCGTTGATTCGGTGTGTTAAATGAATTTCTTTCAATACATGTGGTACCCAAATATCAAGCTTTTTCACCCGTCCAAGACTTTTTGTGTGATAATGAACGCTTGATTTTGGTATATTTAACTTCTCTTCTATCTCACGGTCAGTTACATGACGATCCAATTCGATTAATGCTTTGATTTGGTCATCATCAACTTCATTTGGCCGACCTGAACGTGGCTCATCTTTAAGTGAAAAATCTCCAGAACGGAATTTGCGAAACCAATTTTGAAACTGTCTTCCTTTTAAGGCTTCATCGCCATACACATCTCGTAACTTTTTAGCAACCTGCTCCGCATTTTTTCCTTTACGGAATTAATAAAGTAAAATATGACGAAAATGCAATTACTTTTGGGCAACCCAATAGATATTTTTATCTTACAGTACTATTATTATTATTATTTTTTTTTTGTTAACAATTTTCACAAGCACTGAAGAGACTACTAAGTTCTAGTGGAGTTAATGTTTATTTCAGGTTCGAAGACTGAAGTCTCCATATACTCGTACATATCTTCAAATCAGACACAAATTTGTTTGTCGCCCTCCCTCAAATAATATTTACTGCACAAATTTAGTTATAATATATATGTATGTATCTTTATTTGCATTTATGATTGTGATATATGGCAAATATGCTTGATGTCTTTGGACACAAATGGCGCTTGCTTATAATTCCAAACGAAACTCGGTCAGTTATGTTGTAGAAAGATGTCCCACAAATTTTAGATTATTTCATATAAAAACAAACATGAATCTTCAGCGAATAACTATACTACTAATATTAAAATAATATGTTCGTATATTTAACGGTATTTATAGAAAAATACGAAATATCTATGCAAATTTTTAGCGATAATTTTTTCGCAAAAATTAATACGAATATTTTGCAAATAAGTCATACATATTGACATAGCTGCAGGTGTGAGACGACCGACACAAGTGTTTTTGTTAAAAGTAGCCGAAATAATCAAATACACGCATTTCTAAATACATACATGCGAGTATATACAATTCGTACGACCAGTAAATACATTCAACTCCACAATGAACAGTTCGGACTTCATTTCAGAGTAGAAAGTCGTTTTAATTAAGATTTATGAAGTTTCTAGAGTTCATATGTAAAAGACTGCGGGAGAAGCAATGAAGATTTTGTTTTGAATATATAGAGTTGGGTATAAAGCGACGGAAGAAAGTCAATTCGGCTTTAAGCACGAGGCACATACATACACTACATACATATATAAATATTCATAATTTTATTTGAATATTGGTATGATTGTGTGTTCATCCAAATGTACGTTTGTAGGTATGTGTGTGTTATAAAAATGTAAAATACATTATTTTTCTTAACTGTACCATAAAACACTTGTTTATTGCCAACTAACAAGTTGAGCTGAAGATACTATTTATATTATTTATCACCTAATTTTTGAGATTTTGCGATTTTTCTGAATCAAACAAATAGCCCATTGCCAATCGTTCACCAAAAACGATGTTTCTCTTCCTCGACCTTACAGATCCGAAAATATTTTATTGACCCCGGCAGTTTGTCAATTGATCGCAGCGCTTCAATTTTTAAATTCTCTCTAACATATTTATACAGCTTTGTTAAAATGGTATTCACAATAAAACAGCAACATTTATTGTAAGTACTCCAATAATTTCTTAATACACGCAGTATATGCAAAGGGTATATGTAGATACAAAAAAAATGTGTTTTATCATGTAACCACTGAAGAGAGCCTCGCTCGGGCACCTTCTCCAATGTGAGGTGCGCGTCTTCATATTTTCCAACAAAAAGAGAGATTTACTATTTTTCGGCTGATGGATCTTTATGAGGAACTTTGATTTCATGTCAGAAACACACTTCGAGAGCTTGATATTCCCTGACGAGTGGTGACCGTAATAAGAAAAATTAATTTTCTATTACTTTTGATGTTGGTCGAACCAGGACTCGAACCCTGATCTTCAGAATGGCAGTACGCTAAACTAAACACTCTGCTATCCATAATGTAAGTCATTTTGCGACATAATAGCCATGGTAAAACGGGGTAAAAACTTTTTTATGCCTTCCTCGAAGTGATTTCCTTCCAGCTTCTGATATGCGATGGCTTCTGCCATTGTTTCATATAGTAGAGCTCTCTAAACATCGCAAATCACAGACCGCATTTTCGATTTTACAATTCGTCAGTCAGAATTGACTCCTTTGTGAATCATTCTCAGATTTACGACCGTTTTTAAACTTACGACATCACTTGTACACATTCGTACGATTCATAGTTTTATCACCGCACATTTTAGATCCGAAACGCCGGTCTCACCTTCCAAACAAGATAACGGATGACGCAACATATTTCGCACTTAGCATGACACTGGATTCACATTGTTACGAAACTCATTTAAGATCTCGTAACAAAGGGGAAAAATCTGGCTGCACTACCGTGTTGCCAACAAGACTCTCCAGCCATGCGAGCCTTAGTACACTTACTGTCTGGATATGCCTCGTTTAATCCCCGGAGTTTGTATGTTTATAAGAGCCATTTACTTGTCTAAACTTCAAAGCTGCATTAATATCATGTAACACCCATATATATACAATACTTGTATATAATTGCCGCTTTGAAACCGCTGCAGCGGTTTTTGGCCGATCGCCCCCTCGAATTTGATGTTTTTCCAACAAATGGAGAGGCCTAAAATTTATACTAAGCCGCCTCCGAACGACTGATGATCTTTTTTTATGAGGAGCTTTATTTCATATCAGAAATACACTCAGAGGGGTTGGCACTCCCTGCCGAGGGCCGGCCACCAATTAGAAAATTTAGCTCAATTTGTTTACTTTAAATTGTAATCAAAAACGGGCGACAATAACAAATAAGTCCTTAATGACTAATTGCTCATAATGAAGAGAATTTATAGATCAGTTGATTTAAATAAAAACAAATAAGAAATCACGTTTCTTTTCATTTTAAGAATATTACTTACAGAATGATTTCCGAGAATGCCTTACGTTTATACTTGCGTATGGAACTCAGAACTTAAACCGTGACAAATTTTTTTTGTGTGAACTGCGAAAAATTTTAATTTTTATGCCCAAGGTGTATTAATAACAGAGCGTGACAGACTCACATGATGCTCTCTTGTATTTTAACAAAAAGAAACACAAATTGAAAATTTATTTTGTAAAATTGCAGATCATTATCGACAAGTATGAACGTAAAAAATGATCTTCTTATTGGGCAATAGTTTTTCACAAAATTCACTAGCTTGGAAGATAAACTTAAACAAATTTGTTCAATAAAAGTTTTAAATTTGTCATTCAAGAATTGATTGGAATTGATTCTAGGCTCCAAATCTTCTGACTTTGTCGAGCTTAGTATATGTAAATAAATCATATATAAAATAAGTTAAAGATAGATTTAAACTTAAATTACCTTTCCACTATTAGCTTCTAAAATGACGTATACCAGCAGAATTATTTCTTTTTCATCTGCTCCCAAACCGGACCCGTTTTGTCCACACGTTGCGATATACAACGATACCAAATGTTCTGGGACCTGCATATTTGCACTTAAGCCTTTTTAATGAACTTACGGGCTTCTCAGGCTTATTTAAATAATCACAGGATATATTTTTTTATTTGTATTTTTCTTCTATGTCTTTGCATTTGTACAATGACTTTGAGTATTTAGGGTTAGGAATTCAAACAGTTCTGAGGTGTTAATGACGCCGCTATTTTGCCTTTAAATATAAATAAATATGTATGTGCATATTGCCATTGATATTTGCTTGCTAGTTTCTAACATCAGGATCTTTGTTAGGTACGGTATTCACGGTTCCAATTTAATTTCTGTAAAGATAAAATTTTAAATTATTATTATTTCAACTCTTTCACAAAATTTTTAATCAAAATTTTATTTGTAATGAAATATTAGTATTAAGAGCAGATACCAACATAGTAAACTGAAATAATTTTCTCGTCTTGATGTTTTCCCAACAAATTGTTATTCTAAGCCACCTATGAACGGTCGATATGAGGTTTATGAGGAGCTTTTATTTCATATCCAAAACACACTCAGAGAGCTTTAAGTTGCAATGAGAAAAATTAAGTTTCTGTTATGTTTGGATGTTCGTCGGACCAGGACCCTGGGAGCACGTACTGCTTACCACTCGCCAATTAGTATAATTTAGTTGGTAACGGTATTACTACAGATTAATATGAACTGTACAAGTACAGGGTTATTCATTTTGATGTTCCAAAAAAACTTACAAATTCGAATTCAAAGTAATTTTCTTCATGAAATTTAATTTTTTTTAATTTAAAACACTGCATTCTTCAAATAGCCAATTTTTGCAATTTTCCATCTTTTTGAGGTACTTTTCAACCGATTTTTGGCACATATTGCGCGGTATCATAGCTATAACTTGACAAATGTTGCTGTTCAAGTGCTGAAGTGTGGAGAATTTATCCGCGTAGCGATCAATTGATATCGCCAAGATGAGAGATTACGCGGCCGGAAAATTTATCTTTCTGTGTAGCATGCGCCAACATCGTGTTGAAACCACCAATTGTCCACGTCGTGTTCTTCAATTGCAGGCCAAAAGAAGTCAATTGTCATACGACCATAACGCGTCGTTGTTTTCAAAGGAGTAAAGTCCCATCACATCTTAGGACCGAAGAGCGCAAGAGTAGGAACGTTTTTTTCGGGTATAATGACCTCTCTCCAATTATTTGAAGATTCTCGTGGTCACAAATGCGCCGAGAGAGAAATGTTGCTCGTGGCTGAGGAAAATTTTGTTCGAAAAATCATGGTCCACTGTTTGTTGTTCAAGCACCCCATCGACATATCCATGGCATTCTGAATGGTCAGCTGGCTTCAGCTGTTGTGTGAACCGGGCTTCATTTGGATGTCTGCTCTAGTCCAAGTGCAAAGTACGCCCTAGTATGCCGTAAGAAAGATCCAGTATCTATATCTATATTCGTCGCGCAAGCTGTTATAAGCTGTCCGAACGAAATACATCAAAGGAAAACTCTAATTCAGATTTTATATTCATCCAAGATTCAGAAACAACTATGGCCTACAAATTTTGTCAATATTTTACTATATGAGCGAAAATATTTTTAATTTTCGTTTTGTTGACTTATGTACTTATTAGTATAAATTAAGCGGGGCACGAGCATTTAATTGCACTGCGTTACGTTTCGCACTTTGTGAAATTAACGTATTCTAAATCAAGCTTGTCAATCACTCCGCGGTAGACATGAAAAATAGCAACAGTGTTGAATGTAAATTGACCAATATCAACGACATCCACGCGCAGAATCATTGTCGAATCTTAATCACATCTAGGTATAATATAGCATTTTCAGTCTGCAAACCTATTTCCCTGCAACTTGTTCTAAAACTCACTTTTTGTCAACTTGCAATGAGCTTGGTTGCCTTAAGGTCGGCTAAAAATGTTTAATATAAATTAATTTCTCTAGTTGCTGAAGGAAACATACGTGTACATACATATTTACTTCACATACACGTACATGTGTGCAAATACAGCAAATATTTTCATTTCATACATACATATGTAGATACGTTTGCACAATAATTTCAAGGAACACTTAAAGCCTACTACTAGCATTTGTTTTCGCTCAGCGTATTTAGCAAAGCCGGTGATTTCTCGGACTCGGACGTGCAATGTTCAAAGGTCAGAAAGTGTATGGGTTAATCGAGTAAGCTCACCAATGTCGACTAATGTCGCAATTTAATGCATGAATGTTTGCATGTGAGCACACATACATTTATAAATATATATATACATATACAAATATATGAGTATGCACTCGAATATAAATAAAATGATATATACTTACTGGTAAATACATTTATATATGTATGTATGAGTATATATGTACATATTTATTATCTATTGTATTTTAACTACTGATACTAAGATATATACGTGTAAGTAGTTATGTGTTTATGTATGTATATGAAAAGGTTTCTACACAAACATGTTTCTATGCCAACATGTTTTATAAAAAAAAAACTTTATCGGCTTGAATACAATAATTAAAAATCTAATAAAATCTGTGCATACACAAGCGTAAGTGTATATAAGACTCATCTACATTTACATAAATGTACGTTACACGATCACGTCACATCGTAAGACACTACCTAATTTACATGAGTCTCATTGGATGTTCTTGGCGAAGTACAAACACACATATGAATATATATGTATCACTTATCATTCCCAGACACGTGATTATTGCAAATTGAATATTCTTCGTGAGCATCCTTTTGGGAATGGTTTAAAATGGAGTATACTAACAGTAATTGTGGTGATCACTGCCTTCGAATAATAATTTCCTTAGGCCTCAAAACTTGTTGATATTCTCTTTAATTTCCTTTGCAATGGATGAACAATGTTTCCTGACAATCTCAAAAGGTACATCCTTCAATTTTTCTGCCTACTCCGGCATTTTTAAATTCTTTAGCCTCAAAACAATTTCTTAAACGCGCTTATTTCTTTCACTTGTTTAGTTGCTAAATTTTAGCAGTTTTGCAGTTAATGAATCAACTTGTTTCGTCTTTCTAAGCAGATACCTACATACATTGGTACTGAAGAGTATGTATCATAAATTTATGGCTATAAACAGATCTTACGACGGAATTGAGTTATTACCACCATCAACGCGTCAAAATCTAATGGTGACAATATTTTTCGTTTTATCTCTTGCCGAATCGATTATATTCAACAAAACGACATTTGATATTGTGTGACATTTTCAGCAGATTTTGAAATGAATAACTGACCATAAGTTTTGGAGTTCTGGCATACCCTAGTTTTAGGTATAAACATAACACTAGCTTAGTAGCTTCCCTTTATTCCGGTCATTTTATTTTACAAAGGACCTTAGGGCATCGAAGCAGCAACAAATCATTAAGTACCCAAGAAGTTATTCAAAGCAAAATTAATAATTTGCCCGTTGCTCTTTGTATTACCTACATTTAGTTTTGAAAAATATGTTTTATCCAGTTCAAATGGAATATTTCATTAAATTAAAGCATTCTTTTTAACCATTTTGGTTTTTGGTGCGTAGATATATAATAGTGATGGTTTCCCCACTCGGGAATATGTGACTATTAAATTGAGAATGCGAGAAACAGGAAAACTTCAAGTGAATTCCGTCTTTCAGCGATTGGTCCTGGGGTTTATTTTTATTCATCACTAAAGCCAGAAGAACGGGAAACTGTAGGGTCTTAAAGCGAATCTGTTAGAATCATCGATGTACGCGGTACCAAAGTATTCTCTTCTCTGGTCTAGGTCCTTGTGACATTTACTACACCGGCCATACAAAGGAACGGAAATTTGTTATCAGGTTTCGTGCTGGGAAAAAGATTCCGTTGCCAAGTACTAGCTCTTACCACAGTGGCTGAACCACGCACCGACGGAAAAGAAGAACGATATGACCAAGGATACCTTTTATGAGCGCCCCGATCATACTTAAGAGCGCTGCCACCGCCACGATGAAAAAATTGTGCTTAGCGACTTAAACGCCAGTGTTGTCAAAGCAGGTATTTTCTACACTACGAGGATCCAACATCGTCTCAGACCTCTAACTTTTTGCAGCCAAGATATGCCCCACCTCTATGCATCAAAGAACGCCCGTCAACCAGCACAAGGAATTTTTGGCGTCGAAAAGCTGCAATCATAACAGACTGTCGAGCGATTTTCTACTCGCACTACTTACACTCCCACTGTCTGAGAGCACTCATCAATAACTCGGTAAAAGAAACTGGGAGACGGAATTCCAGGCTGCCTGTTTACAGCTGGAAATGAAACTATTTGATTTCGGAAAGATCTCAAAAACAGCTTGTTCGATGAAGACGGTCGTGCCGCAGGGGAGGGATAAAAAACTGTCTCGCAACCTTTCAATTGGGTTGGGATAGACACCGAGAGCTGAAGAGAGAAGAAAGACTCGAGAGCAAAACGAATATCTCCTATCATCAAACAAACAGTATTCGCGACTCGACCCCCGTCACAATTGAGAGTCATAACTTTGAAACCAAGGATAACTTCTGATATCTTTGAACAAGAATTAACACCAATTATGATGTCAACCTTTAAATGAAGTGCAGAATCACTTGAGTAGGAAATTAAAAAGCAAAGTTCTCTATCGACGAATAAAGACCAAGCTCTAGTATGTGGTGCGAAGAGTTCGACGCTGACAACATCTCATTAGTCTGTGTTGGGACTTTTCGATAAAAAAATTTTGCGAATCAAGAAACTGCGGCTGCATTGACCATGTCATGTGGTCCACAGGAATAACAATGCTCCAGCTTGGAAAGTTTTCGATGCAATACCCGCCAGTAGTAGCAGGAAAAGGGGAAATATCTAAACTCCTTAGGAAAGACCATATAAAGAATTAACAATGCTGTTAACTTGGCAATTGCCTATGCCAGAGAAAAATAAGGAGAAGATATAAAGCTAAATAGCTTATTTATTTCGGAAACAGACCAGAATTGATTTTCATGAAATCTAATACGTTGGTAATTTTTTTTTGTTATGAAATGCCGAATTGCATATGGAACGATTGAACCATCTTTAAAGACTATTTCTAAGTAGTTCCAAAGATTCCAGACCGAGCATTTTTCGGTAAGGGACGAGCCCCGAGAAGGTCAACCAAAATTGTCCACTATTCACGTCACTGTACCTCTTGTGATGTCCAAAATTTATGAAGACCCACGATTGACGCAAGAAATGATTGCGAAACCGATTATGTAAATTTATGTATGTAGATCACCGAAAATCACAGAAGATAAACTCTACCTAAAAAGACGTTTGCTC